TTTATACAAAGTTGGGTTGAAACAACCCAGCATTTTTTAGAGTGTATAAGTGTACATTTGGCTACCTATCTTGGCCACTCCTGTAAAACAAGGGTTTTAATCTTTCTTGGTAAAAAATAAAGGTAAAATAATAATAATATTAAATTTAGAGGCAAATTATATATTTGTTTTATTATTTATGCATTATTTTACAATTATCTTTATATTACTTTGATTTTATATTTTAAAATAAAATAATTATTTTAATTCATGAGAACCCTAGTTATACACCCAGATGGAACCAGACGAAATGTGAGTTTGCTAAAAGTAATTTGTTTATCAGCTATTTCAGCCACCAGTCTGGATATGATTTGATTCTTATCAAAACTATGAGATAACAGTGATAAGTGAGAATTAACATATTGAGAATTGAAGAGCAAAGTCACAATTATCAATATTTTTCTACTAAAACGTTATTTAAACACTATTTCGGTAAAATGAACTGTTATGAATAATTATGTTCGAAATAATTATTTTATAAATTAGCCCTATAAAACCAATAGTTTTGACTGTCTTTTTTGTGCGTGGATATATTCATACATTCATTTTTCATTAATTTTACCACAATAAATAAGTGTAGTAGGATAATGGCTGATTTACGACCAGTTGACCCTTCGCAAAGACCTGACCTGCTTAGTTACTGTTGCTATGTCCAACAAGCCATGGCACTCTCACTCCACACACCATGTTCTCAAGTAGTGAAAAATACATCGAGGAGCAAAGAGGAAATTGACAACATACCAACAGACAAGATAGAGCAGGTTACTACTGGTTTGAAACATAGTCTTAGCTTTCAAATTTTGTCATTTTGTAAGAAATTCAAACAATAAATACCATTTTGTGGCCCTTTAATGTGTCGTGACAGATCGCTGTAGCGCCTCAGTTCAAGCGGCATGTGAACCAATCATCTCTTTCTCTTTACTAGTTATAGCGCGAAATAAGCATGAATGAACGTCAGAAGGTATCTTATTTCAACCACAGAAAGACATCAATACACTGTATTTGAAGTTAATCTACTCTCCTGTCTAATTTGTTTGTTGGACAAAAATGGCAGATTCAGCATTATGATTGGTCAGATCACCTGTCAATCAAACTCCCTACGAAGGGTCAATTTGAAAGTTCAATGCAACTGCGACTAGGGGGCGAAAAGTGGCAATCGTACACAAATATCGGATATAATGGAACGGTGGTTTAAAGGGGTCATGACATGGATTTTTTCAAAATTATTTTAATATGTTCCTTGAGGTTTAATTATAATGTTAATAAAGGTTTTTGCAAAAAAAAAAAAAAAAATTTAATAAATAAATAAATATGTGGAAACAATGATTATTTTCTACCCTCATTCTGAACCTCTCCCAGAAACACGCTGTTTTATGGGCGGTTCCGTTAAGGCTTCTCAGTAAACGGCCACTGTTATGACTGACTAACGTCATTGCATCGGAAACAATATCAACGCCCCCTCGCTATTGCATGTTATGACAACATAATCAAAATAAAACTGTCATTTCCAGACCAAGCAACTAGAAATCATTTACTTACAGACTGATACAGCTACAGTCAGATCTAATACTGCTTAATTTTTCAACAAATGTTTCTTTGTGAACTCTCCATGACACTGTGCCTCATTTACAAAACAAAATGCTCCAAAGTCCGAACGAGCTGTTTAAACCAAACGCGTCAAAGCAAACGTTCTTTCTCTTCATTTGTCCTGACGACAGACTCGAGCGCGTGGACTATGTCAGAAAGTGAACGCGCATCTGTATCGAATACTCTAGAATACCTTAAAGGGAATTTGACTATCCAGTGTAGACAAGATAGCAGCAGTGATTGTAATTTCTATTTGTTTTTGACGCGACACGACACGCGATCAAGTGTCAAACCGTTAGCTTCTGAATGCCAGTGGGCAGGGCCTATGTCGATGTGTTGCTCAGGAGGCAGTGTTTATGCAAACGACTGTCTAGCTGACGTCACCATGTCCCATATAAGATTTAAAACGAGCCATTTTCTGAGAGTTATTACATGAATGCTTTTTATTGATGATGAGGAGATTTTAAGTTATGAAACTTGCAGGATATATTAACCATACAAAGACCTCTTCTGTATCAAAAGATCAAGGGAAATTTGATTTCTTTAAGGTGGAAAATGAAAGTAGTTTGAGAGGAAGAGCAAGTTAGAGATTATAAAAAGTTGTTACCATAATTGGCTAATAGCACACAAGAAACTATGCTTTTAACTACAGGTCTAGAGTTGTAGTACCAACTACAAAACTTTGTGATGCAGTTTGCAAATATCTACTGGAAATATGGTTTTGAGAATTCATTGAACTGTGTTGTTAATGATGGAATTTGCGATTACAGTTGGCAAATACAGGGTTCTTTTTGGTGGACCAATTATTTGTTGACAATTAAACCTGAAATGTGTCAATTTTATTTCATGTTAGCATTTAAAATTGCTTTGTGAGTCTATTGATGATGCCACAAAATTCACGTTGTCCCCACAGGTTCCCCCAAGCGGAGGCAGTTCCAGCGGCAGCGTGCAGCCAGCGAGAGCATGGACCAGGAGGAGCATGACGGCCATCACATCGACCTCATCCAGTACATCGCTCGCACCAAGGATGTCACCTACTGCCACACCCGGCTTAGTCCACGTCTTCTCCCCCCCATTTCCACACCCCCACCCTCCCTCGGCAGGTATCTTTAATTGCCTCGCCCATGCATTCGCTATAGCAACCATCTGCCTCACCACGCCTCATACAGCAGACCTCATTCCATGCTGGACTGATCTCAGCGCACTGATCGCATTGCCTTATCGTGGCATCATCAGCTTACAGTGCAAAAAGCTTTGCTTTAGATTTGGAAGTTGTTTCCTTGAATTTGGGTAAACCACAGGTGTACCTTTTGGTATTTTTAGCCATCAGTTAGCCTTTGTTTTGCAAAATGGGCCAAGAAGGACAATTTACATGTTTATGAACATTAGTATATTTGTTTATATTTGCTTACCTATCACAACTGACTTTCCTGTTTCTGTTGCTGTGTACTGGTCTTCTCAAATTAACCATCACAGAGTGAGTCACAACCATCTGTGCACTAATGGAGGCATCTGTTTTAACATCTCTGAATCTGGACTCCAAGCTTTAACGGAAGGGAAAATAAACAAACATAATATATTTGACATACACTACCATTCAAACGTTTGGGGTCACTTTTATTCAGCGAAGATGCATTAAAGTGGTCCAAGTGACATTAAATACATTTATAATATACAAAAGATTTCTATTTCACATAAATGCTGGAAGAATCCTGAAAAAAAATAAAAAAAATAAAAATATTAAGCAGCACAACTTTTGACAACTTCAACATAGATAAAGAAGAAATGTTTCTTGCGTATTTTAGAATTATTTCTAAATAATCTTGTGTCACTGAAGACTGGAGTAATGGCTACTGAAATTTCAGCTTTGCCACCACAAGAATTATATATTTTTTTTTAAATGTATTCAAATGGAAAACCAGTTATTTTTTCTGTATTTTTGAACAAATTAACGAGAGACTTAAAAATCTTACTATCCCCACACTGTTGACCAGTATAATGTAGACCTACACTGACATAAAACATGATGTTGTGCTATGTTGTGGCATTTTCTAATTAAATAATATAATAGGGATGGTCTACAGTGGTTAGCTACTCAACTAGTTTAGACTAGTCAGTTAGTTAGGTTGACTAGTTTACCTTCGTTTTTAGTATTGTACAACTAAGATTGTAGCAGTGCTACTTAAATTGTCATTTTAAAAATTGCTTTGTGTTTTTTACTGTTTTTGGAGCATTGCAATTTTAGGTTTATTATTTTTATAAAAATGTTATCTAAACATTTTCAAAATATGAAAAATATATAAAAGTTAAAAAATGTCTGAATCTGGGCTCAAAGATAAACTAAAAATAAACTTAATTTATTAAAATAAAATAAAATTTATTTGACAAACCCACACTAAAACAGATGTTGTGCTACACTGCGGCATTTTCTAAAGAAATACTGACTATATTTAAGAAAACGAGTTTGACTGTTTTCATTTGTGTGCTGTTCTTCAGGTTAGAGGTGGAGGTGATGGTGGAGCCCAGCTGCAGCAGAGCGATGGGTCCCGGGGTGATCGGCCTCACCTCTGAGTCCCCGCAAGAGAGTCTTGGAATGGGCTACCATCAGGAGAGCTTAGAACCTCAGACCTTGTACCGTGATATCTGGACTCTTCGAGCCTCTCTCGAGCGGTATGTCTCGTCCGACCAGAGCAGCAACAACGACAAAGACTCTGTCCGTAGTGACGCAGACAGCGTGTGCTCTTTAGGGGGTAAGACCGAGATAGGAGGGCTGCCTAGGTACCCCTCGCAGGATATTGGGGATGAGATGGAGGGGGATGCGGACGTGCCTCTAGATGAGGGATCGGAGAATGGTCGCAAACAGGATAGTGTCGATTCTGAAAGGGGAAGTGACGGGGAGCCAGGAAACCGCAAGCTGCTCCAAATGGACAGCGGTTATGCCTCGATAGAAGCACCTTCGCGTGCTCCCGAGGAGTTGCGACTGTTTGGTAGCAGCAGTAGCAGTAAGGACGGCTCTGCCGTGGAGCGCAGGCACTTCTTCAGTTCTGGTCGCAAAAGGACCGTGTGCGAGAGCTTCGACACGGACATCTTCGACGAAGAACTCGAAGAGGAACCTGCGGGTGCCAGCAGCGGTGTGGATGGAGTGGAAACGGACGAGAGCACCATGCCGTGGTCCCCCTATAGCCAGATGTTCACTCAACACGACGTTCAACCTCATCCCCCCGTCCTTTCCCGGCGTGACTACAGCATCGATGAGAAAACCGACGCACTTTTCCACGAGTTCTTGCGGCACGACCCGCAGTTCGATCAGCAGGAGTCTCCGCTGCACTCCAAGCATCGTTCCCGGGTGCACCTGCGTAAGCAGTGGCAGCGCTCCAAACAGTACAGCGACCCCGGCCAGCGCTTCCAATCCTCTTTTGACCGGTACCGCACTCCTCTCCGACGCGGTGAAACTGTCAACTACCCTCTAGAGACTAGCTACCACAGCACACTCCCACGAATCATTAGTGCACCTGACGAAGAGAGCAGCGAAGGTGCAACAAGTACACCCGAGACACCCAAGGCAGATCAGGATACCGCTACTGATGTGGATCCCGACAAGATAAGAATATCTTCCAGCACCGAAAGCAGCGGAACCATCAATGAAAAGGAAGCCCTCGAGGCATCGCAGCCCCCTCCAATGACTGACATTGCTGGAGAGCAATCGCTGGGCCGGGAGAACTCTAGGCAAACATTGCCACCGCCTGAGCCTTCTGATGAACATACACCCAAATGTACAAGCTATGGCCCACAGACAATCACAGAAGAGCTGAGAGACAAGCTAGCGGCAACACTCGAAGAGCGGCTGTACTCGGATCTCCGCAGGACCAGGGAACTGCCCGAGTGTAGTGCAGTGACTGTGACCTACACATCGCCCGATCACAGTCCAGTGTAGCATGTGGCTCCCTTCATCTCCTCGTGCAAGAACACTTTGTGGCAACTACAGGTCCAAAGTTTTGATTGACATTGGCTCTGACATTGGACATTGGAACAGGTTTGCTTTGGTCATTTAAATGGCATTGAAATCATTCTCATTATGTCCTAGACCAGTGGTGTAGAGACATTTCTTCCATGCTCAGTGTTAAATAAATGGCAATTAAGGCTCATACCTCATGTTGCTCAATGCACCAAGTCTTAAACAAATGAAATGTCAAAGTCTGTTATTATAGCTCTCCATTTAGCTACTTGTTGACTTCAAAAGCCAATATTTTCTCTGCACTAGGTAATCCACTGTGAAATTGGGTGCTATTAGATTAAAGATTGATTATATTTGTGATTGCATGACTTATATTGCAATGCTGCCTATCCGGATGTCTGTTCATGACCCAAATCAATATTATTTTCTTTTACTTGTTTTTAAATGTACAAGCTAGCCCTCCGTTCGGTTATTATGTTTTGTTTCTGAAGTTGTAAAATACTCAGTACTACTTATTATTAGCATCTGGGATTTTGTTGTGTGGTTGAACCTGCTTTAAGATTTTAGAAAAAAATGCTATAAATTATAAATCATAATTGGAATAAACTTTAGAAATTTCCTTGTATGGGTAGACATGTCTGATTACGTCACATAACTCGTATTTCAAAAACAACAGCATATCTGAAACACCATGGCACTGGGCCAGTTCCTAAGCAAACATAAGTCTTTTCCCTTTTAAGTTCACAGTGTTTATAATTTGGGTTAAATAAAATGGGATTAGTTGCACTGCACTACATCACTAGCCGTGTTAGCTTGGTCCCCACCAACACGTTTCCAATCCATTATTAAGTGTCCTTGTCATTTAATAGTGTTATTTTACCATTGAATACTGAATGGCTAAAATTGCCTCTTTGTGAGATACTGTAATTTTATGACCATTGAATTATTATTTTCTATTATAAGCTTTTCATCTTTTAAGTGTATCATTTGTTCTGTATCGTTGATCATATCTGCGAGAATGAGAAAAAGACAGAATGATTTTTGAGTATACAGTGGCAAACTGTTGTCAGGTATTACCAAGATAAAACATTAAAACACTGTAAGCAACAGTTGGGAAAACGGGGAAAGAAAAGACAGTCCTGCAAAATAATGATCACAGATATGCCTCTCCAAGGGTTTGAATCAGGCCTGAAATTTTTTAAAGAATTTCATTGTGAGAAGGGCATGCCTTTTCTTGCATGTATTTCCCGAAATGAGCTCTGTGTGTTCGTTAACATTATTTTTATGTGAAAATTACCAAGACAAGAATCCCTAGAGGTGGATGACTGCACATGCTGCCTTTGTACAGAAGCGTTATTTAAAATAATTTAAAGCAAATCCCACTGCCCAGCATAAGCAACTGTTGAATCTCGGTACAAATGCCACCATTCACGTTGATTTGAATTATTCCAATAAAATGGGATTCTAGTATTCCTGTCTGTCAGCTCACAGTATGGGTTGCATTCTGTATTGATCATTATGGGTTTGATCTTCTTGGAAGCATGCAAACAAAAGGTTGTCTTTGGCAGATTCTCAATTGTGATGTGTTGGAAAGTCTATCTTTGTGAAATCTGAGCGAAAAGGCCATTGGTGATAGAGGCTCTTGATGTAATGAAGAAAAACCTTGGGTAGCATCCACAGGTCTTGTCTATGAAGGCTCACATTGTTTTGTGGCCTTTTAGGGTGATTGTTTGAAACGTACTGACCATCTCACATGATTACTATGGTGCCTTCCTGTGTGTTTAACATTTAATGGGATAGTTCACCCCCAAAAAAAGTCCATACAGTGAAAGTCTGTGAGGTCCAAACATTGTTGTTTGGACCCCATTGACTTTCATTGCATGAGCAAAAACAGTTGAAAAAGTATTCAAAATATCTTCTTTTGTGTTCAACACATGAAAGGCAGTCAAACATGTTTGGAATGACATGAGGGTGCATAAATGATGCCAGAATTTCCATTTTTGGATGAACCGTAACATTAAGTAAGCAAGTGTTATGGCCAGATCTCAGTAGAGCACTTATTTCTTATCTCCTAGTTTGTACATAATTAGGCCAAATTACCGTACAGAGATTATTAAAAGAAAAAAAAACCCAAAAAGCTGTTATTGCATTGCATAAATAGAAATCTGAAACATGGTACTTGCATTGCATTGTCAAATACATGTACACCTGTGTTAGCGATTACAAATCCGGTCCTTGGTTTTGATTAACTGTAATCCATAACATGTCAGGGACAGTGAAATCTGTACAAAGGAAAGTAGAATTGTATATAAGCACAATGAGGTCCCAGTGCAGGCACTAGAATAGTCTATGTCTTGGATTTGACATAAACCTAGTTGGGACCTTTTGGTGATACAGTATGTGCACAATCAAATAGCTGTCGGTTGATGGATTACTGTGTATAGATTTGCATGTGATGACAAATTATTGTTTAGCAGATCCAAAATGAAGCACCAAATGACAGATATTTTTCATGTGACTCTGAGAATGAAAAGAAGTAGACTTGGTACTAAAATATTGTAAAGTATTTTAAGGAGTCTGTTATTTTAGAAGTTCTGCTTTGCTGACTTGATGAGATTTTTTGCCATATTTCCATGGACAAAAAGGATTTCTATTGCTGACTATATTTCGATGAAAGAGAAAATATATTTATGTGCAAATTTCCATGTAGAAAAGAAAACATATCTGTAAAAATCTGCTTGACTAATTACTCAGTCAAAAAAAAAAAACAACAACAACTAAAAAGAGAAAGCGAGGCAAGCTTTCTGAACGTTTGTTTTGTTTACCTGGATCTCTTTGTTTTAGATCTACTGAGCCTCGAGGGACCAACCAATCTAAACATTTATTTTCATGTTATGTTTTTCCAACTAGTCAATAAAGAATGATGCATTATGACTTTGCCCGAGTCTTTTTCGTTTTTTCATCTCAAGAGATTGTCGGCTCGCTCCGGCAAACCGTTATCAGCACCTGTCTATGTTCCACCCTGCCATTCTCCATCTTAGGTGCTGAAATATCCCTTTGGGAACATCAAATATTCATATCAGCCAAGCTAATAAATTAAAGATGGCTGTACAGTCATTATGATTCTAAATCAATAGCAACCCCAGGTAACCAGGGAGAATGGGAAAGGGCCTTTACGCTTGTGATAGCGGCTACCAATCATTTGCGCGACGGCACAAACAAAGACCACTGACACATCCTATTCATGTCCCTCTGCTGTAATGAATGTTCCTCATCTGAATTGAAGATGACCAAGTCTATGGATGGTCACCAGCTTCATTTCTCCACTGGGGACCATATGTTTGATCACAATTCAATTTGACGTCAAAACTTATGCATACACAGAATAATTGATAACTGTGGTGAGGGAAGATATTTGCCAAACAAAAAATATTCCTAATGAGATTGATAAGTTTTCTAGTCAGAAATTGGACATGAAGCCCCCCCCTCCCCCCCTAGTTACTGTTGCTACGTCCAACAAGCCATGCCACTCTCATGCCACACATCATGTTCTCACGCAGTGAAAAATATATCACAGAGCAAAGGGGAAACTGACAACACGCCGACAGACAAGATAGAGCAGGTTACTACTGGTATGAAACGTAAGCCGCTTTTCCACTATCGGGCCGAATGGTTCTCTTTGCTTAACCGTTCCATTCTGTGCCGATCTGGGCCAGTCTGCACGGATACGGTTTCATTTTCCACTGTGGTGCTGATAACGGAGCTCTTTGGAATGTAATACAAATGTGTCAGTCATTGCCTTCCCTGTTGAAAAAAACAGTATATGCTGGATAGGTATGTTTTGAAGCTGGGATGCTGGTTTGAGCTGGTTTAAGCTGGTCCTTTGCTGGTTTAGTGCTGGTCCTAAGCAACTAGCTCCTGCTCAGGACCAGCACATGACCAGCTTAAACCAGCACATGACCAGCTAAGGACCAGCTTAAACCAGCTCGCCCACCCCAACCCAGCATCCCAGCTTCAAAACATACCTAACCAGCATATGCTGGTTTTTTCAACAGGGTTGGTAAAGCAAGTGTAATGTAAACAGTGATATGCATGTTTAAGCTTTTAAATTTTTTCCCGGCACTGTTTGGAACTTTTTTAAATGCCCTTCTCTGCTAGAGACTGCGCTATTATTTTAAAAACTTTTTCATTTCTATTTGTACCCTCCAGCTGTTGCTGAATTTTTCTCTCTGCCCAAAGATCAATAAGCGCAAATGTTTAATTTCTCCACATACCAAACTGTCTCAGAAATTTTTTTCTTCTTTATATTGAACATAGCATAGCTGTTTACTTGGCTGTTTGATCAGAATCAGATTCAGAATGAGCTTTATTGCCAGGTATGTTTACACATACGAGGAATTTGTTTTCGTTACAGAAGCTTCTGCAGTGTAACAGAATGACAGTGACAGAACAAAATTCACAGATAATAAAAAATAAAAAATAGAACAAGTAAATAAGGAATAAAAATATACAAATCGACAATTGTATGTACAGGTATATAACAATAGACACTTGTATGTACAGGTATATTATGTGCAAATTGGAATGCAGACTGAGTATGTGTGTTAGATAAATAAGTGTATGAGTGAATAAATAGTGTGTGTTCCACAGTTATTG